GCTCTGCGATTCAGGTCCATCCTCTGCGGTGATTTAACAACCATTCGCACCAATATTGTGCCCTATCCGCGCATTCACTTCCCCCTCGCCAACTTCTCCCCCATTGAGTCGCCTGAGAGAATAGAGCATGATACTGTATCCACTCTGGAGATCACCCGCAGGGTCTTCGAGAAGGAGAACCAATTAATTAAGGTGGATCCGTCGTCAGGCATGTTTATGGCATGTACCCTGCTATATAGGGGTGCGGTTTCCCCCAACCAGGTCTACTCTACTCTCTCTGTCGTAAAAGATCTGAAAGGGGTTACCTTTGTTGATTGGTGCCCCACCGGCTTCAAGGTCGGCATCACCCTGGAACCGCCATCAAGCAGGCTGGAGAGTGGTTTGGCTGCGAGTATTCGAAATGTTGTTATGCTGGCCAACAACACCGCAGTCTCACAGGCCTGGCAGCGGATGGTGCACAAATACTTCATCCTCTACTCCAAACGGGCCTTTGTGCATTGGTATGTGGGAGAGGGCATGGAGGAGAGCGAGTTCAACGAAGCCCTGGTTAATTTGACTTCCCTTGTGAAGGACTACGATGAAATAGCTGCCGATCCGTCGGAAGAGTGAGACTCTCAGCCAAGTGTGACCCCGATCTCAAGCCGTCCCTGGCCAGCACTGACCTCCAAAAACCCCTGCCAGATTTCCGTTCCGGAATGCGGTTTGGAAAGTGAAAGAGGAGTTAAGTTTAGGTACTAACTACTGAATTTCCTCTAATTTGTGAACAAATGCGTGCAATTTTCAAATCTCTTCCTTGTGTGTTTAAAACACTCCTCTTTGCAGCACGCTTTCACACTTAAAGTTCTAACTTTTTTTAACGAATGTGCCCAACTTCGGTTGTAATAGGCACAGATCGTGATGCGCTCGCATCGCTTCCGTCTTGGAGATTCTTTGTACTCCGTCGACTTGCCAAGCTTTTCACTTGCTATTTGGTTTGGAAATCAGATGCTGATTTGACCCTGTACTGCTCTTTTTGCTTCTAGCACCGCTGCAAGCATTGGCTGATTGGGCGTTATTCACTGTTCGACGGAGCCTTCATTGTCGATCTGACAAGCAATAGCTTTCCTATCAGGGTTTTTAAATTGCAATGCTCGTTACTCCAGAGACTCAAAGAGATAGAATACGCCCATTTTCTACGGTTATGCTGTAGAGTTGCGGTCAGCTTAATACGGCTTAATGCTTAATACTGATCTTTCAGTATAGGATCAGAGTAGTTGAGAACAGTACATGGGCGTTGGCTGTTATAAAGGTGGCTGCTACAGCTTGGCTCAGGCGCCTCCTTAGACGTTTGCTTGGTCCGTCCGCTCGAAACGGGATCCTGGTGAATATTCGCCTCTTCACTGCTGTTAATACTGAGGGCTTTGGCGGTCTTTCAGCCATACGCTTAGCGATAAATCGACAAATATATTCATTCACCTGCTACTGAGGGGCAGGTCTTATTGGTCGCGCGGGTCGGCATTTGCCCAAAAAAGTACGGGAACACATTCCAGCATGTTTAGGTAAGGGCCAAGTAAAGGCTGTATACAGTTCCATTCTAGCGCACCTGGTAGACTCAGATCATCACGTGGATGCTAGAGAGGCCCTCCGAGTGATCTATAAGGTACCCTCAAGCTATTTAACATTCCTCGGACAGCGTCTGTTGGCTACGGCAGAAGCAGCCGTCATCAGGCTACGCCAACGGATCCTGTGCGCCCAAAAGTACTTCGTTGCGGCGCCGTAGTTACTGTGACCGAAACCCGCTAATCCAACAGCTCGCAGCTTATCGCCTCTCTTGGTTGTCAATTCTGCCTAACGGTGATCAGATGTTTGACCTCGATTTTCCGTCCTCCCCACATGTCCTGACAACCGCACTATTTGTGCTACCAACCCGCATAGTTTATTTATTTAATTACCATACAAATTTAAAGGTCTGACGAGAATTTAGAGAACACAAACGTACTGTCGCCAATTTATCTTCTGAACTTTTCAATGGGAATTTACGCAAATTTAAAGCATACCTATCAGATTAACTTTCGTTTCAAGAACTGTGGACAGGGCTGTAACAAAAGTACAACGCCGGCTTCTGAAGAAGATCTCACTCTAGGAAATAGTTTGCCTTGGGAGGATAGTCTCTTCGTGTACAACGTTTCGCAAAGATATTAAAAGATTTCATGAAGTGCATAAGCGCAGGCAGAAAAGGCGCATCATCCGTTCTGTACTTGGACCTTTGGGTGAAGCTCTAACGTTGTAAGAGGAGACACTCGGGATAGAGGCAGCCCCCCTCAATATTAACTGACTACCCTTTACGATTCGATACTGATAGTAACGTTCAGCAGGTCGTATGTTTTACGAAAAGCATAAATTGACCAACTCAGAAAAGTCTTCAAAATTTTCTGACGTCGAGAGTCTGATTTTGCGGTAGGAATCAAAAGTGTTCTTAATAAGTTCGTTTGATTTTGCGAATGGATGAATAGGTCGTGCTAGATATGGGACACGGCTGTGAATTTCTTTCCTCCACAATTTTCCAGTCTCGGAGTACTGTTCTCGCCCTATTACGAAGTTATTGAGACGCCAGCGAAAAAAATTAGCAAAACCAAATTGTAAATTAAAATGTTCATTGTGACACCTTTGACGGAATTCATTAATTACAGTTTGCAAAGAATCCTTCTTGGGCATTAGAGGTCTTCATGTACATGGACACATTTAAGTATACAGGGTGGTCTTTTGTTGAACTTACGGCATGTTGAAAGAGATAACCATACACAGTAAATGTTCACATATAGGTTGTGTTTGCGCCACAAGATTATTTTTTATGAAATACAATTATTTTCGCATTCTACGAATAAGAGATAGAGAAAGCTATATTTTGAAGGTTATAGCCAAAAGTTTCAGCAAAAAAATGGCACCATTCATGGAGAGCAGGGAGAAGGTAAGGCAAGGGGTCATGGTAAAGCGTCAAAGGTAAATGGTCACAGAATATTTAAAGTTAAAGGTTTGCACGATATCCACATGCGTAAGGGAGACAGGTCGGCTTTCAACTTCTCAATTTCCCCTTCTTCATACGGGAGATAGCGTGCTAGGAACTGGAGTACAGAGTGCTGATATGGCGATGTACGGCAAGACATATGACGGAAGTTTCGGCGCATACTACGGAAAGACTTCGCAGCCATTACTTCATAGTAAAGAGGGTGAACGACCTCATTAAGTATACGATCAGCAAGTTGCTTGACCGTTTTAATGTGTCGCTGTATTATAGTATAAGCTAAAATGGCATGGAAAACACCGGCGGTCGAAGGAAAAATTCAGAGGATACGTTAAGTAATGCCCAGATCTTTCTTAAGTAAAGCTGGAAAAATTACTGGAGAGCAGTAAAGAATGAGGCAGAGAACACAGACATCTATAAATCATCATGACATGAGGGAAAATAAGAAAATAGATTGCATCAACTAAGTTTATTTAGCATGTCCTAGAACCGCCAGGATGTGTTGACAGTAGGTGTGATTTCCTACGGAAATTGATTAGGCGTACGGGTTAATCAGGCAGCTCTTTGGGGTTGGCCACCAGACCCATTGATCCTGAGTCATATTCTTAGCAATTAAAACATGTAAAAAAACACGACGGCTGAATACGCGGCATTTACGAACAAAAATATGTTTAATATGTTATACGGACCAGCTACCCTCTGCCGCAATTCAGACTTCACCAACTAAACAGATCTCACAAGTCATCAGCGGCGAAAATTGGAATTCGTGACCTAGAAAAGGGAAATACATCCCCCGCGATTAGGGTAAACACTGTTGCCGGTCAAATGAAAGTGGATCACTCTAATACTATACTAGGTTTGACTGAATATCGGTCTATCGTAAATATGTCCTGTGGGTTGTATTTTTAAACGTTTAACGCACTAGTCGAGTAGTAACCGTGTTAATGCTCAGAAGCAGACTTTACTTTCTTAGTTGAAAGGTAATAAGACAACTTTAAGTATAGCCACAGAAACTGCCGCTACACTCGAGTTTTGAACCCGGGACTAGTGGGCTATAATTGAGTCAGGTAACTCTGACCGATGAAGCGTAATGACCCAGAAATACGCGTATCTCAGCGTCGTTAGGTAACTCTGACCGATGAAGGGAAATGACCCAGAAATACGCGTATCTCAGAGTCCTAACGTTTGCCAGTAATACATGACCCAGAAATACGCGTATCTCAGAGTCCTAACGTTTGCCAGTAATACATTGGGGTAGATTAAGTTTGATATTTAACTGGAGACTCTTGTGAGTGAAAAAAGACCCCGGCAGACAAACTGACTAAATAAATGGTTGTGGTACAATCCACAGAAAAGACACCGTTAAAGGAGCTCCAAAGGGAGGGAGCGT